GGGGGGGGGGGGGGGGAGGTTATATTGAATAGAAGTGTGGTAATTTGGGGAGGAAGGGTTGCATGGAGGTCCTATTTGAGTCGACGTGGAGAGTAGAAGCCATGCCTTGGTGTTTTTCTGCTATCAAAGCTCATACAAGCTCGGCATGGGTGAGATGACTTCTCGCAGTATACCAATGTTACTGCATAAAGTTGTTGATAATCGCTCTCCTCTTAACCTGAGCCATGGGTACACCTAAGGCGCCGTGGCACTAGAATCCTGGGCTTCTTTCAGAAGCGTTAAACAAACGTCGGCAACACCCTGCGACCCAGTTCTTCACTGTTTCAAGTGGATGAGCATAGGTGAGATGTTTCTCCCTTTATACCAATGTTACTGCATAAAGTTGTTGATAATCGCTCTCTTCTTAGCCTGAGGCCTGGGTACACCTAAGGCGCCGTGGCACTAGGATCCTGGGCTTCTTTCAAAAGCGTTAAACAAACGTCGGCAACACCCTGCGACCCAGTTCTTCACTGTTTCAAGTGGATGAGCATACATGTGTAAAGTCGTCACACGTAGTCAAACACTTTATGAAAAATATGCATCTCGTTCTCCGTTGTTGGGTCGGCTTTATATGTGTTTTTATTTATTTATTTATCTTTTTGCAACTGCATTTACTGCGTACTAAGTAGGCATGCATGGGCGCGGTTAAGAGTAACTCGATCAAATGGGATCAAAACATGGACATATGTCATCCTTCTAGCAAATGGGGTTGTAAAATGGAATATTCATTGTCCTCCATACCATTTTTGGACCTCCGGGTAAGATGAGAAGATGGAAGATGATTCCCATTCAATAACAAGGTTTCCATCTGACTACCGCCTCTGGGAGAATGTAACATTCGCTAAAGTAAACAATACAAGGTAAGCATAGGGTGAGTTGGTTTAAATCACCATTTTGAAAAGAACTCTTTGTGAAATACATATTATTATCAAATTTATTGATGATTCAATACATGACGATTGTATTTTTTACCGGTAACGTTCTCTACATGGTTAGTAATTAGTTCGATTCAAATGGAGCCGTACCTGGCACCAACTCCTTTATCTCAGTCATAACCCTAATTGATCAAAGAATTACAGTTGCACAAGTATGTCAAACCTAAAGCTTTATTTCAAACTATGTTCGTATAAATTATATGTCAAGTAGATATGAAGATATGTAAATAGCGTTCCATAAGTAGTGCATCGAATTAGATTTCATTCTTGATCGCCGAATAACAACGGCAACCAGACGAAAATGTCGACAAATTGCACCACCGTTAATGCCATCAGTATGAAACTGATCACCAGGAGTGCTAGAGTAATCGCATGACATATTTTCAGCATTTTCTGGAATAGGGAAGTTACTGTATTAGTAGCGATATGACTGCATTTATACTCGGCGAGCTTGCAGCCACTCCAATCTCCTCAACTGATCCACAAGTATACGGCTCGAAACCGAGCTTGACTTGTTCATTCTTATAAACTTGTTTTGATAAGCAACGGTTGCGCCGTTAGTCCCGTTAAAACCTGTTGATGGTATGACTAGTGCTTGCTGTGCTCGAATAGGGCGACGCGGCTGTAATCGATTAGCATCTTCGACATGGCAGCTGGTTGCAAGTGCGCTAAGTATACTTGCAGAGGTAGAATGATGAATGACCTACTGGCTCCGAATATGGTTTAAGATCCGATGCGTCATGCTTTGTTTTCGACTTGCCCTTCTCCTTTTCCGCGGATTGTACATCCGTCGGATCTTTTGATTTGGATTGCTTCGCTTAAAATTTTTTCTTCAGATTCGAATTTTCTCGTGAACGGTGCCTGCAAACCTTTTGCATCTTCACTGCCGTTCACTCCTGTCCTGTCAGAGCTCAGATCGACATCATCTCCAGGTCTGAAAATTAGAACACAGTTCTTGAGAGTTTTACACTTTCGATTACTAATGTAATTGGGCTAATGGGGCTGCTCAGAGCCGGCCTAGGCGTCATCAGCTAATTCATTGATATAGATAGTTCTTACCGGAGAGCAAATTGTCCGATGTTTCCCGGTGTCCTTGCTGGAAGTATTGGAATCTTTTTTGAGTGTTTATCACCGTTAGGTGGTGGCGGCGGAGGAGGCGGTGGCGGAGGATTGGCAGGTGGTGGAGGAGCATCAGGCGGTGGAGGAGGTGGTGGAAGTCCTGACTTCGGCCCTAACTGCTCGTACTGATCATTTTCCATGTTGGAATCGTCACCGCTTGCCAATCACACAAATGTACGTACGGGTGTATGCAAATGGTACCTACTTCGTTTACAAGACGGGGATCGGATAATAAGAGTAGTATCAGCCTTGTTATCGTATGCCTAACACCTTTCACTTTTCTTAGAAGCTTATGGGTTCACACTCATATCAGTCTAATCAATACATATACTTAGCTCAACGATTCATTCTTCATCGCAAACTGTTCTTGCACGATAGTTCTGTTAGATAGTGTGCTGAGATAAGTCCTTGCACATTTAATAACCACCATGGTCAGCTATGGTTGTTGCAGAAAATGAACCAATTCGTGCTCGGGATACAGCGATTCCTAGCTAGTTGCCTCGTCGTGCAGCATACCGACTGGAACTAACGTCCATGTACGGTAGAGCCATTGTTACTGAGATTTTGTAGAACGATGAACATACCTTACATCCGTAGCGCTATGGCCAGCTGGATCGCATTTGAGGTTCAGTCCTCTAACATTGTTCAGCAGTTGATGAGGATGTGGTAGGATAATACCAAACACGCCACAAAACGCATAGTTCGGAAATCTAACCCCGGACCGATACCCGTCGAAACCAACCTCCAGTCTTCTTTTCATCTTGTGTCGATTAGTAGCTACTAATCTCGGCTGGAAACATGGAAGCACTGCTTCGTGCATTTTCTGATGCTCTAATTCGTTGTATAAATCACGCTGACGATCTCGAATGTCACTGCTATTTTGATGTCGATGAAAGTTGATTAAGTAGATGCGAAATGATTGATCAACGCCGGAAAGGTCACTAAATCCCTCTAGTAGTTCTCAAGGTAAGCCAATGTTGCGCCCATCTGAGGACGTTGCCTCGAAACAAGTTGCCGGTCGTGTAAAGATTGTCGGCGATAGCAGTAAGGTGTCCTAATATAGCTGCTGTTTATTGTATACAGCTTGCGGCTTCCTAAGGATAGAAGATGGTCGAAACCAGTTATGCTAAAGTTAGACGTTTGAATGACTAAAGGCTGTTGATCAGGTTTCCGAGACAAGCCATTGAATTCGCGGTCCAATGTACTTCCTAAAACCGTAATGCACCGCAGACCTGGTTCAGATTTGTTAGATACGGTTTGAGATAATACCATTTTCTGAGAAAACTTCCGACTAATACTCCAACTTTTCGAAAATTCTACCGGTCGAATGATGAATTGAAGGAGAAGGAGGAGGGGAGAAAAAGGAGTGACAGATAAAGCCCAAAAAGTTCCCGAAGATTCATTGGACCCTTTACAACAGGAACAATTTATACCCCCCACCAACACCATTCGTAACTCTCACATATGCATAAGACAAATGTCGTGTGCTCTTCCTTGTGCAATTGCCGATTTTTCTAGCGTTGCTTGATTCTGGGGATGAGCGATGAATGAGCGAGGTCAGGCTAAAGCAGAATCTTTTCAGACTTTGCTCGGTCCCTTAACTGGCTGAAATTGCTCGGTCGATTTAGTCTCTATTGAACTGGAAAAATTACCAGAGAATGGGAACTCGAACCTTGACCCGATGAGGGTTGAAAGCATTTATTATTCTACCAGTCGGATCGCCCGGCTAGCGCCAGGCTCTCCTCCTTCTTGTGCCAAACACCCTATCCCGAGAGATGTTGAGCTGAAGAATTTTATTCCTATTTTCAAACTTCGTAGTTTTTAAGTTTTTTCCGTGTTTAGTTGAGCGGGAGTATGAAACTGAAACAGAGCTCGAAATCTTCCTTTGACACAACAGAAATCGAAGGCTTCATTCTTCCTTTGATAGTTGTAGTAAGTCTGATTCTCCGCTCCTTCTTTGGAACAGATGGCAGTTTCCTGTACACGAAATTCGACGCAGGACTAACAGGGCAGTGCAAATGGTATTCAGTTAGAATCGGTGCTTACGCCTTTGATCGGAAGTCTCGAACCTTTGCTCCTTAAAAATAAATGCCCATAAAAAATCTAACTGTTAGACAATCAAAGATGATGCTGTGGGATGTTCTGAGTGATGATAGCACCGATATCAGATTTTTTTTATCATTGGACCCTTTTCTTTACAGAGATATCATATGTTGAGAATTCTAG